TCGGTTAGACATCCCCTCCCCTACTGGACTGGTAACACGCCTCTTGTTGGCTTGGACCACCTGCCAGCGCCATGCAGACGACCTTTGGTAAACAATCCGTGGAGCATGAGGAGCACACGGCTCAGTCCAGTCGAACATTCTGTGCTTCTCATTGCTTGTTGCCTTGTTAATCTCGCTGTTCTCAAAATTTCGCTTTTCATTGCCTCCATTCTCCCTGATTTCAACACAAACCAGTTACAATTACAAAACAACCCAAATGGTTGCAGAAAATGATGTTTTCACGCAAAGGGATGGAAGACATTTGAGTATACTGTCATTTCTACAGTGAAAAAATTGTTTATATTCTTAGTATTTATGATCATTTGTTTTCAGTTAAATATAAACTATTCTAAGAATATATTCTTTTGTGTATTTTGTCATTGTTTTTTTGGGGGGGGGGTTACATGCTTGAATATGTTTAGAATCAATGTTGATCTATTAAACACGAGATGATTAATACATTATAAAAGAAACTCAGACAACACCCTAATGAAAGCATGGTTATTTGGAGCACATGAAAATGCGAGCCTGATCGTTGTCCTTAAGATGTTAAATACACATGTGGCAGAAGTGCTGACGGGGCATTCTATATGAATGAATAAGACTCTCTGAATCAAAGCCCTGCGATAAGACCCCATGTTCCACATATTAGCTAAATGCAAACACACCAGATAACAGCACTTGGCTACTAATGGCGCGTTTCCACCGAGCGGTACGGTACGGGTCGGGTCGGTACGGGTCGGGTCTGTTAACCATGATGTGGCGAGCGTTTCCACCGCCAACTGTGCCCTTACTTGATAGGCGTGGTGTATTCCAGAAAGTAGTGATAACGTCACTTGATAGGCGTGGTATATGACGGGAAGTAGATTGACGTCATTCGATCGCGCAAAAACTGAAAGCTAACCGCAAACAACAATGGAGGACATACAGCCGATCCTGTTCTTGCTTCTCGATATGCGGCTGTTTGTCACAAGGAGACGACAATCTTTGTTTGAGCAAACTCCGGCTGTTGTGGTCGTTCCCCTTGCGGCGCACGCAAATGACGACACTATTTCAACCAATCAACGTTCTGCAGTGAGTCTAGCTCCACCCTTTAGTACCAAACAACTGTGCCAGGTACCCCAACGGAAGGGTACCCAAAAAGTGGTACGGTACGGTTCGGATTTTTGGTACCATTCTCAACTTTTGGCAGTGGAGACACAAATAAAAGGGTACCGACCCGACCCGTACCGTACCGCTCGGTGGAAACGCGCCATTCGAGTCACAAAGGGCAACAGAAGCACTAAAAACAGCAGAGCGGCCCCGACCCCTGACGCCCAGCTTCATGTTATCCCCCTTGTGTTCAGCGGTTGCACACTTTGACTGTGCCATCAGACAGACCTTTGTTTCACACCAGCAGTGTTGTGTAACACGGCAATGTTCAATGTGTCGAAACGCAACTTTTTCTGATTCAAGTGAAAGAAAAGTGTGGCCAAAGGTAAAAGCGTATAATTCACATGGCCCCTCTTCCTTTCCTTTGTCTTCGCAGTTATACACTATCAAGGGTAATGTGAGAGATTTTCCACGGTCAGGCTACCAATAACCTTGTGATAACTAAGTGCAACACAGTGAAAGCTTTTCACCTTTTAACGAAAACCCTGCTAAGCATCTCACAGGTTGTCAGTAGTTACATTGCAACACGTCAGACATCTGTGCAGTGCTACCTATTAAAAGAAAATCCCAGTAGAGAAACTCACGGCGAGTCGCAAAGCAAAACTGCTGCCAAAGTCACAACTTGTCCTCACGCTGCTTACATTTCTCTTTTGGCCTGCTTTTCACCCTCAGTCTAAACGAGGCCACTGCAAAACACAACACTAGTGACTCTGACGGGGGGAAAAACTTTAAAACATTATTTTACGTGACCCTTTTCCACTTTGACAACTTAAAAGCAATCTTGCACAACTTGCACATCTTAACAAAGCGTTTTGGTTTCAACATATTTTTTTTCAATGTTTTTTGGTGGGTTTGGATGCACAGCATAGGTTTTTAATGATTGCCTGGGAACAATCACAAATACCAAACTAAATAAGCAACATTTCCAATCTTCCCTATTTGGGTGACTAAGCTGTCGGGCGAAGCACCAGCTGAGGTGGTGCTTCACTGTGACCTACAATTGAGGTGAGTGACTCATTGAGATATCGAGTGTGACAGCACGCTGGCTGCGGAGTGATGCACGTAGCATATGATCAATCACGCTCTTCTCAGATGCTCTGCTGTTGATATGTGGCATGTTGAGGTTGTTCATCCGGTGCTTTGTTTGTTCGGGGCAAATGAAGAAGCTGTGATTTCACGGCATGACTCAAGCAAAGCATTACTCCACGTGCTCGCTCTCCAGCAGAGGGGGTTTGTGGGATGAGTGCCCTCTGGCATGGAGGTGATGCCAATGAGCAATCCCTGTGGAGTGTGTGTGAGAGCTTTATAACCAACTACATGACTCACCCCTGGTCCTTTACACTGTTGCATGCATGCTCATTTTCTCCATGTCACCATATTGTCTATTACTCACTAGTCTGAAACCGTTGCTGCACTTCCCGGTAATTCCCGTCACATGTCTACAACATCCTCATGCTGTAAAGTGTGACTTATCACACCGTGCTCTCGTTCAGGTGCTTGCCCTGGATGTGGCAAGTTCTCCTGCGTCGATACTTTTATAATCTGTTTATCTTTTTCGAGATTTCAAATTATGTTTTAAAGTGGCTTTGACTGCCAAGCTATTTATTGGATTAACAATTTGTCAAACCAGAGCCAATGGCAAAGCTCCAAAGCAAGTAGGTCGGCTTGAAATTCAACAGAACAGAGCAAGAAGAACAGCTCGGATGCTCCTCAGGAGGCCCTCCATGTGCATGGCAGCAGCTCAACTTTCCACTGTTCCACTAGCTCAGGTCCCCCCACTAACACCTATATGTCATCCTCTGTGCCACAGAGCCTGAATTAATCAAGCAATTGTTTTTACAACAAGTTGTTTCTAAAACTATTAGTAGTAAAAAAAAAAGAAAGAAACTGAAACATGTTTTCTATTAGTACATATACAATTTCTAAATATCTTTAAGCTGTTAATTGCTCAATCTGTGGGTGAATGGTAAAAATTATAATAAAAGCAAAACCAGTGTCTGGTTTGATATTCTCAGATGTAAAAATTTTGGACTTTTGATTTGTCAAATTGAAGCTGTCGTTGCCGTGGCGTTTAGGAATTGTAAAGCGCAAAAGCGCGTCAGTTTTTTGATGTTCTAAAGACTCTTAAGGACGGAAAAAAATAATTGTGAGTTGCAGGCCGAAACAATATTGATTAACAATACAAAATAAAAGAATCGCTTTCCAGTTATTTTACATTCCACAACATATTCAACATCGTAGATAAGAGCTTAAAGAAAAATACAATCACAGCTAATTGGCAGTACAGTCCACTGTGTTGATGTTACCTTGTATATTAGTGAAAATGACAGTGGGATATCTGCTTTCCATACATGCTGTGACAAGACAACCCATTTTCAGCCAAAGCAGAAGAGTAATGATCTTCGGGATGCTGCGTCTGCTGAGTCTCAAAAACCAATTACCTTTACTGTAAACATGACCCCTTCCCTATTGGGAAATCATAAAATGACCCCAAGAACCACATGGTTTCTCTTGACTTAATCCAAGCTGGGTCACTTCTCAAGAATACATTTAGATCCCTAATGAAATTGGGATTTGGAGAGTAATTAGTCCATCTAGATCAGTGGTCCCCAACCACCGGCCCGCGGACCGGTACCGGTATATTTTTTCTGAAAAATGTTTTATTTTGAAAATTGACCGGATTTTCTCCTAATTATATGCGCTCGTCCCTCTGACAGATTTCCCACGCGTCACCGGGCGTTTTTCTTCACGTTTACAATTGTCCTCTTACCGTGCACGGCAGTCCCCCCTCCCTCAACCCCCCGTTGGACCTTCTCGACTGGGCCGCGGAATATTGTCTGACATGAAAACGGTCTGTGAGGTAAAAAAGGTTGGGGACCACTGTACTAGATGATTACAACAGACGATAAATGTTATACTTCTGCGGCCCGGGGAGATGAACGAATGGCGTTAGACAAAGAGGAAGTGGAAACTACTAAACACAGGGAAAATCCTGAGTTTAAATTAGTCATAAGGCCATCTACATGTGGGGCAGACGAGACATAAAATATTAAGTTAGCATCTCATGCAGTGCAAGATTTAAGGTTAAACAACTCCTGAAAAATCCACTACTTTATGTATACAACCAACCCTCTCTGGTCCTTTGCCAGAACTACGCATCCTGTTGACGGACAATGACGAAAAAGTAAAAGTGTTTGGTAAAGCATCCGCGTAACGCACTGTAAATCATTGTTACGTTTCTGTAGCACTCGAAAATCTGCATTCAGATGACAGTCACCGCATCCTTCATCTCGCTACATGAATGTCATTGCACACGCCCAGTTTTTGTCGAGCAGACAAATCAAAGTGAAACGTATGTTCAGAAGAAGTAAGCAGTAACCAAAAAACTAGAACATCCCTGTGATATTTAAAAGAAATAACAGTAACATAATAATAAAGCTTCAAGTCATCTCTGATAAAGGATCCACAGGAGATGAGAAACCACTTCACGCCAAAATGTGATTGGAGCTTTCCGCAACACATGCTGAATTACCTCTGAGCCAGCATGGGATCTGTGTCATCTTTACCATGGAAACCGACATCATACTACAGCACATGCACACACGCAGGGAGCAATTACCATGGCATCCAGCTCCGTGGCGACGAGAAGCTTTCTGCGACCAGACCAATTCACTCAGCAGCTGACTGGACACTCAGTCAAAACCTTCTGCCTATCACTCCCTAATTCCCTCTCCTCTTCTCTACTTCCCTCCTCCTTTCTTTCTTCTTTTCTACAATACACTCCATTTGTCATGACCTAGAAAGATTACCTTTTATCGGCAGAGGACAAGGTCTTGCAGTGCTCTGCAGGAGCGGCTCTGTGTCGGCTGGTGACAGAGGAGGAGAAGCTCTGCAGGGATCCCGAGAGATGCAGCTAAACCGGCACCGCAAGCACGCACGCATCCACAGCCACAACCACCACCAGCGAGAGCAGCAGCAGCAGCAGCAGCAGAAAATCGGAAGGGGAGGGGAATGAAATATAAAAAATAAAAAAAAAGCAGGAGAGGGGGTTGCTCTATCAGCAGCAGGAACATTACATCATGGGCTGCCTCTGTGCAAGGGTGGGAGAGGAGTGGACGGAGAAAAGGGAGGTGCTCCTCGTATAGCCGCATTCTCTCCGTCAGCGCTGAGCTCTTTTCAGAGCGTGCACAAATCCAAATTCAATATTTATGAACTGGTAACGGTAAAAGCCCCTCAGTGGTTAGAGGCAGAGCAATGAAATAATCAGATCAAGTGCTCTTAATTGCGTATGATCACTGGGGTTTGTTGTCAGAATGGATATAATATGATGTATACTATAATGTGGCTTATCCCTTCGGGGGAAGCAGGCTGTGTGTGTGTGTGTGTGTGTGTGTGCGTGTGAGTGTGTATGAAGTGCATGCGAGCCCACACAAGGTCTTTTCTTTGTGGTAATTCGATTGCGTGACAAGTGCTTGCTTACCAGTGCTCAAAGCGCACGCTGCTATTCAACCTCTGCAAAAGGTCATCTGAGATTTCACGCAAGAGCTGTCAGTGGATCTGAATAGTTGTTAGGACAGTCATTATATTTAAACTTAGCCATCACAACCAATTTGTCAAAAATTGCTGCGTGAATATGCCAACGCTTCGAGCACATCTGGGAGCCAGAGTCCACCCATATTGGGACGGACGTAATGGTCGCCTATTCTCAGTGGTTGGCTGTTAATCACCTACACGCTGAGATACCCGTCTCTATGCAGCTTGGAGGTTTTACACATTTTGAATGTACTCTATGTTGGATTCGGAGACAAACTCGTTACATACATTGTGGGAGGTTCAAACCCAAGCTTAAACGTTAATACTTGTTGTTTTCATTATTACAAAGATGATAATTCCATCTGCAATGTATTATGTTTTCAGTGGCAGAGCAGTTGATGAAGTAATTAGACTATAATGCATTTTGTAAATGGACTGCAGCTGTGTTCTCTGAAGCAGTGTGTCAACCCAAATCATTTAAACACTCTATCGGACAACAGGCCGACACAAAAATGAAGATCTGTTGTTCATAGTAACTCCCTTACAGGGATGCTTGGTTGGCCAGTTGTAGTTACTGGTGGAGACCTCAATCTGAACAGCCATATAAAGACAATTACAAAATCAGGCTCATATCACCTGAAGAATTAATCAAGGATTGAAAAACTTGCCCATTCAGTCATCTTCAGTAGACTTGTAACAGTGGGTTCACTGGTCTGTAAAAAGTCAGTCAGACGAATGCAGTTAATTCTCTTTTCTGTTCCCAGAGTCAGAACCACACATGGAGAGCAGCTTCAGGTCTTCTGCTCCACATAACTGGAACAAACTCAGAGAAAGCTGCAGCTCTGCTGAGACTCAGCTGCCTCAAATTAAGATTTTACTCTTTCCTTCTGCATTTAATTGCACCAGATTCAAGGATGAAGTGGATGCTTTTTACTGTTCATTTCATAAACTACACTAACGTCTTTTCTTTAAGCTTGTTTTTGTTTCAATCAGTACTTTTTTCATCCTTACTTTGAAATGTGCTACATGGCTTTTTATGAGATGTGCCCACAAGATCTTTAGAATAGAAACAATATCATCTCACTCACAACACACAGACAACAGGAGGAAATAAAGAACTACTGATTGTGCAGCAAAGACCCTAATAAGGGTTACAGTGGAACTGAAAAATCAATCCAACTGCTCTCTCCGTCTCTCTCTCGTGTTAAAACGAGCACACAGCCTCCCTCACATAGCGAGTGCTGTAGGTTTAGCTGGAATGCAGACTGTACTCGGACAAGTCTGTGTGATTTCCAGTGTGTGAGACGCTATTCATTGGGTGACGCCTGAGGAAGGAGGATTCCCCAGAATGTAAACACCACTCCAGTTGGATCTGACCTCTGCTAACACAAATTGGCTGAACCCCTTGTGACCGCAGGGGACATAGGCCTTGAAATATTGTTGCTGCAGCACAGAGACTATCATTCTACTTTCCCAACAAGCCAGTCGCTCTCACTGTTGCAAACAGATCAAATCACTGTAAATGAGAAAAGGGAAAGAATACAATGACTGTAGCCTACTGAGGGACGAGGGATTGACCTTGACATGAGTCCTCTGAAAGAACAAAAAGCCATTTCTGTGGTTTCAAATGCAAATTGTTGATGATTTAAAGCTCTGCAACAGAATGTTGGACAAACTCATGAGAATTGGGTAAAAAAGCACGATGTGGTAATAAAACAATGATTAATGTTCCAGTTACAGCATGTTCATTGTGTCTGAAAAAAGTTCCTTTAGCAGCTGCATGAAACCTATTTAGTCTCTATAAATAATGTACGTATTAAATCTGCAGCTTCTACGAACAATGTAAATTTCTCTTCATAATAAACACCCAAAAATATTTTAAAGAACATACAGGATTTAAATGATTTTGTTAACAACTCCATATAAATATTAATTTTCAATGTATGTATGTTAACCAATGTATATAACCTGATATATATGTTCCAAACCCACAGATGTAATCAATTTTTATGACGTGACTAAAAAAAAACATTTATTACAAGGTTTCCCACATGCAGGAAGAGTTGGTAAACTGTAATACCTTGTGTTGATTGATCACACATAGCTGCAGCATCCCCCTTCCCTTCCCCCACTAACAGGGCTCTAGAGACTACTTCTACAATGAAAAGGTCAAAGGCGATTGGCTGTTGTCCTCCGTAGCAACTGAACAGCAGCCAGGATGATCGACCATCACGACAAACCCTCTCGCCGCTCTGCGTCACATGTACAACACCAAGCCTCAGCTCAATGCTATTAATGGTGAGATAGTTGATTCACCAACTAACGTGATTTCAAACAAATACGTGAAATGATTACGACCTCTTAAAGCCGCATCACGTGCTGGGGGCTTGTAATGAGTTGAAAGTAAGAAGTTTGTTTTCTGGCGACAGAACTACTGGGGCAGGTTTTAAATTAAAATAACATAAAACCTACTTTGCCCATGTAATCTGATCACCATTTGTGTAAAAGTCGGCATTCAACTGTGGCTTTTGACAAATGAAAACCTGAAGATGCACAGACATGCTACACAGCATAGCTTAGACATTTATTGTGGCCTCTGAGAATAAACAAGCTTTTCACATAGTTTGGGATCATTTTGACGTTTATTTCTGACCTCTATCTCATTCATAAGAGACTAGTCGGTGCAGACGCCGCAGTCGCTAAAAAGATGAAGACCAGCAGTTTGCATCTTGAAATAGTGATTTTAATCCTCAACACATAGCGCCTACGGCTGAAAGATAAGAAAGCTCCGCCCCTTCTCCAGAATCTCAGGGGCGCTCTGGTACGGCTGCTCAGATAAAGCTCTTGCAATGTGACACATTCAGAATATCCCATCATGCAGAGCTCTCTGTGGCATTCGACCATTTGCTCCAGCAAGGCTAACTGAAGACAGCGATCTTTAAGCATGAATACTTCTATATTTTATGATAAGTGTCACTCTCGTTCTCATATCCTAATGCGGTTTGCTTTGGTCAACAGTTAAAACAGATGTATTGTGTCGCAGGATCGAGGGCCGAGAAATCGACAATTGACACAATTTGGTATGGCTCTGACTTTTTTTTGTAATTGCCATGACTGAAGTAATTTCTTACACCCATTTATGTAGTAACGGAACGGAAAATAGTTAGAGGCTACAGGTAATCACTTTGGGCTCTTCTTCTGTTACGCCACTGCTAACCGGTCACCTAGTTTACCGACTCTCACAGCAGTATCATGTTCTGAGTTACCGTGGCAACGCAGTGGTTATGTTCCCCTCTCTATTCACGTTCCACTCTCGTCAATCCCCCCCAAAAAATCTCCTCTTGTCACCACACTGAGTTAACAAAGAAGGCGTATTACAATAGGCATCGTTAGATTGAAAGAAAGAAAGCTTGAACACCCTTTGCAAGGTGAATCGGGCAACATCAACCGGATCACTGAGTCCGTGGATTTGGAAAAAGATGCAGGAATTGGAACAAAAGCCATGTGACTGGGTGGGGTATGAGTTGCAGCGTATTATACTGGATTGTGGCTCTTCTAAAATATGCCTTAATTTGACCGGCTAGAAATAAAACATATTTCAATATCATAAACATTTGGAAAAAGCATTCAGTATAGCTCCCTAACATCCTATAGTACTACACAATATACTGTCATCTACTGAAATTAAACATCAGCCGCTGATCTCACGTGTGTACAAATATGAGATCATTCTATTAAATTTGTGGGGGTTTTCATTTCTAACAATTATGGGCGTAAAGAAAACAGTAGAAGTAAAAGTGAAAATTGATTCCATTGTGACCAGAAATATGTAATGTGAATCTAAAAGTGGCAGACTCAGTGATGGACTCACACACCTACACATTATTAGGTTTATGTGTCTTTATCTCAGTCAAGCATGTGAGGAAATGCTAAATTGAAGGCTCCACCTAGAAAGCAGGTACATCAGGAGCAATGGACTGTAATGAGCGCGTAATGTAGTGTTAGTGTTAGTTGAACATCTGGCATTAGTCATAAATCACACCATCTTGGTTAACTAAATACTAAATAATGGCCATGTGGCAAACGTCAACTGACCTGTCCAACTTCTTTGTATAAATATTCAACCAAGTTTTACATTGAACATTTATACTGGATTTTGTGAAAATCAGAAATCGACAAACATCTTCACGTGTTCCATCAACTCTCCTGAAGTTTGACACCGTTTACTTCTTTGAAGGGCGCATACAAATCAACAGTAGTGCTACATTAACTGAGGTTAAGCCAGACACTAAGTTGAATTATGCAGTGTGAGCTGACTTTAGTCTCATGCCAGGCCTAATAATACACTGACCAGAGCATTCAGGCCACAGTCGATACAGCAGCAGTTGAGACCTCCCGAAACCCTCTCGGGTCGCTCCTCTCTGCAGGCCGGTAAACTTAGCTCAGCCCAGAAACAGATCAGATCAGAGGATGTCTGCCTGCTGCTGGGTCGCGTGGCAATCCCTCAAAGGGTGCAAAGATATGCGACAACTGCTCACATCCCACGAGGACAGCGCAGAACCACAACAACAGTTTAAATCCCCTCGAGCATGAGCGGCAGCCGAGAGCTCCAGGCGTCAGAGTGCACGGAGGAAATACTCAGTGAAGGG